TATGTGATCTAATAAAACTATAAAACTTGCAGATATGATCTTGAGCGTAGAGCAGATCAAAAATATTGCTCTTACTGAGATCGAAAATCATTTGCTAAGCAATGGTCGTAGCCTCAAAAAATGGCCCCATATGCCAAAGCCAGAAGATTTTGCTTGTTACAACGGGAATCGCCTTATAGATGATGAGCTTAAATATGTTTTGGAAGATCAGCTAAAGGAAAATGAAAGACTTATGGCGATGATAACAGATGAGCAAAGAGTCGTATATAACGAGATTTTGGATGCAGTTTTAAATGATAACGGTGGAGTGTTCTTTCTTTATGGTTATGGAGGCACAGGAAAAACCTTTGTATAGAGAGCACTCTCATCAGCGATCTGATCTAGAGGTATGATTGTTTTAAATAACGCATCCAGTGGAATTGCTGCACTGTTGTTGGAAGGAGGTAGAACCGCACATTCCAGATTTGGTATTCCGATAGATGCTGACGAATTCAGTACCTGGAAAAAAATGGAACCAGGATCAGATCGTGCAGAATTAGTTAAAGCGGCAAAGTTAATTGTATGGGATGAGGCACCTATGATGAGCAGACACTGTTTTGAGACGTTGGATCGCAATATGCGTGATATTATAAGATCTTCTGAAGACAAACCTTTTGGAGGTAAAGTTGTTGTTTTTGGTGGAGATTTTAGACAGATTTTACCGGTTATACCTGGGGGTGGTAGAGCAGAGACGGTTTTGGCGGCTCTTAATTCGTCGTATTTTGGGAGCACTGCAAAGTTTTGAAGCTAACAAAAAACATGAGATTGCTCGCTGGTCTTACTGATGATGCAGCAAAAGAGCTTCAATCCTTCTCAAACTGGCTTTTGAATATTGGAGATGGAAAAATAAATTTGCCTAACGACGGTCAAGTTGAGATTGACATCCCTTCTGATTTGCTGATAAAAAATAATGGAGAAGATCCTATTGATACTATGGCAAAAGAGGTTTATGGACAAGCTTTTCAGACCTCAACAGATAAGGATTTATATAGACATCGAGCCATTCTTACTCCCACTAATGATGAAGTGGATAAAATAAATGATTACATGCTCTCGCAGTTGCCAGGTAACATGTTCAATCATTTACTATTATGTTTCACTACCAATAAGATGTCACTAAAGAAAAGGATTTACATTTAATTTCAGGTCAAGAGAAGGTTTACCTTAGCTCAGACAGTATTATCCCATCCGATGTTGACATTGAAGAAACTGTAGTATATCCTGTAGAGTTTTTGAACAGTGTTAAAGTGGCTGGACTGCCTAGACATTGTTTGAAGCTCAAGGTGGGTGCTCCTATTATGTGTCTCCGTAACATTGATGTTGCTGATGGCTTATGTAATGGTACTAGGCTAATTGTTACTCAGTTACTGCCCCATGTGATAGAAGGTAGAATTATAACCG